CTGAAATACTTCACTGTCCCACAACGAAACTCTTGGGCTCTTTTCAAGTCTGCCATCTCCTCCCCTTCATTCCACTTCCTCCCTCACTGTGGAACCTTACTTGCTTGGACATTCCTGTAGTTTTAGACACCTTCCTGTTGATCTTTGAGCTATTTACCAGCTGAACATTTGTACTGTTGGTGTTAAATGATAAATTCATATAACTAAGACACTTGACCAAGATAGACTGATACTATCAATTGAGCAACTGTTTCCTACAATCAGTCATCACAATGAGATAGCCATGTTCTAACCTATCAGTAAGGCTATACAAAAGTAAACAGAGTTTTCGGTATAAAATTCATTGTCAGTCAGGCGCGGTGGCTCACGCTTATAATCCCAGCACTTTGGGAGGCCAAGACAGGCGGATCACGAGGTCAAGAGTTCGAGACCAGCCTGGCCAAAACAGTGAAACCCCGTCTCTTCTAAAAATACAAAAATGAGCTGGGCATGGTGGCAGGTGCTTGTAATTCCAACTACTTGGGAAACTGAGGCAGAATAATCACTTGAACCTGGGAGGTGGAGGTTGCAATGAACCCAGATCACACCACTGCACTCCACAGAGCTAGACTCCATCTAAAAAAAAAAAAAAAAAAAAAAAAGTTTTTCACTGAGAGGTCATCTTTTATGAAATTCAAAAGTTTCAGAAATATATCTAAACTGCCACCAATCATTTCCCTGTAGCGTTCACCAGCCTCTGATGAGTTGATTTTAGGCAAATTTCTCACCTTCCACATTCCCAACACAAACTCAACTTCCAGCATACAGAGCTACTTGAAGGTTTCCCTAAATATGCTAGGCACCCTCAGTCACTATGCTACATATATGCTCTCGCTTTTTTGCCCAATGCCTGACTTTTGATAGTCTGAGGAATGCCTACTTGTCTTCAAACTTCAGCTCAGGAGCTGCCTTCACTTGTCTCATCCAAGCAGTCTGCAGCCCCTCGCTTTTATGTTCCTACAAGACCCTGTTTATACCTCCATCACAGTGCCCATCATATGCTGGTAAAATGGTTTGTTTTCCCCTCTCACCTGCCATAGGTTCATTCTGAAAAAAGATTAAGAGTTTGACTCTGCAACCCCAGCACCTCAGGCTGTATCTAACACATGGTAGGCACACCGCAAATGTTTGCCAGATGGATGACCATTCCTGATAGCCAAGACATTAAGAAAGGGGCTGTTTTCCAGTGGCTCATAGCACTATGGACAGCTAAGATGACCACCTCAGCAGTTCAGAAGGGGAATAAGACATACTCTCACTTACTTTTCTCCCTCCCCTTGTATCATGTATCTGGCATTCTAGACAGCCCCATTTCCCCATCAGCCAAAGCTTTGAACCTATTAAGAACAAATCTTTAATTGAAGTATATTAGTCTGTTCTCACACTGCTGTACCTGAGACTGGGTAATTTATGAAGAAAAGAGGTTTAATTGACTCACAGTTCCACAGGCTATACAAGAAGCATAAGGCTGGAAGGCCTCAGGAAACTTACAATCATGGCAGATGACTAAGGGAAAGCAAGCACGTCTTACCATGATGAATCAGGAGAGAAAAAGAAGAAGGAAATGCCACATGCTTTTAAACGATCAGCTCTCATGAGAACTCACTCACTATCATGAGAACAGCAAGGGGAAACCTGCCCTCAAGTCCACCTAAGTGGTGACAACTCTTGTAAACAAGTTTTCTAAATTTTGGTCACATTTTATTAACAAGTTTTGAATTTTTAAATCAAGGCATTCAACAAGTGGAAGAACAAAAACTTCAGCTTGCAAAGCTTTTTAGAGAATTAAGGTTGTTGAAAACAAAACTTGCAGAAGAGCAAATGAAATTTGTCTATACAAAACAAGGATGTGAACAAATGTTAACAATACAAATTTAAACAGGATACAGGATTTAATTTTGAAATTCTGTAATTGCACTTTGGAATATTTCAACCTGAAGAGTCTTTTGATGGAGCTCCTATATTTATTCAGATAAATTGACATTCTGTTCCAGAAGAGAATGGAATAGAGTTGAGAAGTCTATACTTTCACAAAACCTAAATTTGGTGAAATGTTCCAAACAATCATAAAGACAACCTTTTTCTTCCTTTTTTTGTCTTTTTTAATTAAACACATATTTATTAACAGCATGCCTGATTCTGTGGAAAGCCAACTGGAACTCTGGTCATTCTGACTCTCGGAGCATCATGTTCCAAGGTTGGCTGCTGCAACTCTCTCTTGAGTTCTACCTGTGTGTACATCTTGGTGATATCATTGTACCTGCCTTTAGGGGGCTGGTAGTTAGAGACCCATAATGTGTAATCTGGACCTTCCCTCTCAATGGGGAACATGCTGCAGTCCCACTTGATGGCCTCAGTGGGGAACTCAGGGGACTCGAGTGGTAGCTCCTGCAGAGCTTCCTGCTGGGCTCCCAGCACAGCCCTGATGGTGTCCCTGTCCATAGTGTGCTCTCACTGCTTGTACAGGGACCACTCATCAGAAGCAGAGCTCTCCACTCATTCTCCTCCAAGCAGAGCTCCATCTGAGGCCACTGGCTTGCTTTATCCAAGAACTTCACAAGGCTAATAAAATCTGCAACAAGAATGAGCTCTTGGCTAGCCTTTTCCAGTTTTCATATCTTATTTTTTCAAGCAGCCCTTTCCTGCTTGATCTTTTTTAGGATTCACCTTCTGCTCTCACAGGAATGAGTTCCTAGGAGGACAACACTGAAGCTCACTGGTGGGTGCCTCAAACCTGCTCTAGAAGCCACTGAGTAGGCACAGAGTGCATGCCAGCTCACGCCTAGCACTAGCTAGGACTAGTTGGCAGCCTGGCTCTGAGAAACCTTGATCTACAAGATTTGTCTTATAGAAGTGCATGTCAAAGAAAGTTATTCTGGATTGAAACAAAAATATCTAGGCTAAAATGTTTAACCATTTTAATATATTTTAAAAGAGAATTGGGAATATCTTCTACTTAGCTGCATTTGTTGTGAGCTTACTGATTACCTCACCACTCACAGAGATAATATATTCTCGTTAAAAACAGGATTTTCATCCAGAAGTTAATATATCAAAAATTTTCCATTTATATATCATAAAATTATGTTTTGAAGATTAGAGGCAATTTTATTAAAATTTTAGAACCATACTGGGGACAAAAGCATTATTTACTCAAAGAATAAAGAAAGAAAACAAGGGGAGGAGGAAGAGAAACAATGACATAGGCTTAAAGACAGACCCAACTAAGAAACTAAGTAAAATACAGTAATATGTTTGAAGAGTAATTATTACACTTGTCTTTTTTGAAATATTCAATCAATATATCGGCTTTAATATTTTTTTATTTTTTGTTTTTATTTTTGCTCTTTGTTTTTTATATCTGCGTTAATATTTTTAGAGAGACCTTTTAAAACATAGTTTTAGTGAAACCATTTTATATGCCTAACAATAACATAAAACCAGTTTGTTGAACAATAAGTAAATATTTCAAAACTCATATAATTTTAATTTTTTAACCACTCATTTTCAAAAATGTACCAGTTTCATTAATAAGTTAGATCCTCATCTAAGCTCAAACTAAGTGCAGCCAGTATGGCAACTTAAGGGTTGAATGGAAGTTGTTCAGGCCACACTGAGGGGTTCTGATTATATCCTGATGGTTGGAGGATGGAACAAGGTGCACGAGGAGAGAGGTAGATGAAGCTGGAAATGCAGATGCCAAGTCCTCACCTGCACTTCATCCAGAGCAACTCAGCTGATATGTGGTTTACGTATTGAATTTCTGTGTAAGCTCTAATTTGAGGAAATGGTTCCATGACTAAAAATAAGCTTGAGACCACCACTGTGGGCAATGAAGAGTCAGGGAAGAATTTTAAGCAGGGGGTAACATGATCATGTTTGCATTTTTAAAAGTCACTCTGGCAACAGGAGGGAAAATGAACACTTACAAAAAATAAACACCTAGAATATATGGGTTTAGCACATTCATACAGTACTTCATTGCATTAAGATTTAATGTCATGCCTGAAAGGCCTTCTTTAAGACTTTTTGAAAGTCCAAAATATTGTTTCAAAGCCCCTTTGTACAAGGATCTGCACACTGAATTATGATTAGAATTTCATAAAAAGTTCATTTCTTTAGATGACCTAATTTGATTTCAATTACAAATCAACAAGAACTATATTACATAACAGTGTTTTCGTTTTTGACATAGCTGCCTAGATGCTCAGAACTAAAACATTTAACTGCAGCAACTGATTTATTCTAGGAAATCACAATATAAATTTTTCCTGTATTTTTTTCTTTGTTTTGTTTTGCCTTTTTAAAATAGCCATTTCAAATATCTTTTAGAAGTACTGACTCTAAATAGTAAATAATAACTGTCATGATTATTATTATATAGGGCTTATGTGTACCAGACAATGTTCTAAACTCTTTGTATATATTAACTCATTTAATCCTCACCAAACTAAATATGGAACTATCTCTGGCTTTGGAATTTGTGAATTTATTTATACAACATAGGTGACATCAGATAACACCTGTTTCCCTTTATCACCAGTATAAACTTACCTAGTAATTTCTGTGCCTAAAACCCATCAAGCATATTTCTTTTTTTTCTTCTTTTTCCTGAGCAGCAGCAAGATTTATTGTAAAGAGCGAAGGAACAAAGCTTCCACAGTGTGGAAGGGGACCTGAGCGGGTTGCCCCATCAAGCATATTTCAAGACAATTAAAAAAAAAAAGAAAAAAATTTGGCTCAAAACAACTAAAAATCAAATCACTAGAAGAAATCACCTCTCTGATCTTCCAGTCCTGCCTATGTAAAATAAATATAAAAATAATTATATATAAAAAGGTTGTAGGGAATTCTAATGAGAAAATAAATGTATAAACCATGTCAAAAATTGTAAGGTGGTAAACAAATATGAGTTACTGTTATTCTGAAAAAGAGACAATAAGGAAGATTTATTATCTCACCTGTCTCATGCAGTCCATGGGCAAGTCAATCTTCACAATACATCCAGAATCTGACAACTTCTCTGCATCTGCACCCCAACCACTCTTGTCCAGGGCACCATCTTCTTCCACCGGAACCACTGCTACAGTCTTCTACTGGGTCTGCTTCTTCAAACTCTTCCCTTCCACCCAGCAGGTACAGAGATTTTTCTAAAATACAATGCAGATTATATCACTCCTCTGCTCAAAACCCTCTGAGGTGGGCAGAGTAATGATTCCTCAAAGATGTCTTGATCCCCTAATCCCTAACCCACAATCCCCAGAACCTGTGAATATGTTGCCTTATGTGGTAAAAGAGTCTTTGCAGATGTGACTAAGTTAAGGATCTTGAGGTGGGAGATTATCTTTGACTCTCCAGGTATAATAACAAAGGTTCTTATTCGAGGGAGGCAAGAGAGTGAGAGTTAGACAAGATGAGCAAAAGGAAGGAGAGGTGGGAGTGGTGTCATTGCTGGGAGGGGCCATGAGCCCAGGAATGTGGGTTCTAGAGGTGGCAAGATCAAAGAACAGATTCTCCCCTAGAGTATCCGGAAGGAATGCAATCTTGACATCACCTTGATTTTAACCCCCTATGTTATGAATCGAATTGTGTCCCCTCCAAAAAAAAAGTATGTGGGAGTCCTAACCCCCAGTACCTCAGAATGTTATCTTATCTGGAGTTAGGGTCTTTAATAGAGATAACCAAGTTAAAATGAGGTCATTAGGGCAGGACCTAATTTAATATGACCGGTGTCCTGATAAAGAAGTGAAAATTGGACACAGACATAAACACAGGAAGAGCATCACGTGAAGGTGAAAGCAGAGATTGTGGTGATGCTTCTGCAAACTAAGGTATGCCAAAGATTGCCAGCAAACCATGAGAAACTAGTGGAAAGGTATGAGACAGATTATTCTTCACACCAATCCTGCTGACACCTTTATCTCAGATTTTAGCCTCCAGAACTGCGAGACAATAAATTTCTGATGTTTAAGCCACCCAGTTTGTACTTGCTTCATGGCAGCCCTAGAAAAATAATAAACTCTGCAAGACTCATTTTGGATATCTGACCTCCAGAACTAGAAGATAATTAATTTGTATTTTCCTAAGCCAGTAACTTTGTGGTAATTTGTTACCATAGCAATAGGAAACTAAAACACTCTATGAAGGCTCCCCTTTTAACATCCTAAAATATGAAGTTGAAATGGTTTGGATTTGTGTCACCACCCAAACCTTGAGTCAAATTGTAATCCCCAGTGTTTGACGGGGGGCCTGGTGGGAGGCAATTGGATCATGGGGGTGGATTTCCCCCTTGCTGTTCTCATGAGAGTGAGTTCTTATGAGATCTGGTTGTATAAAGGCATGTAGCACCTCCCTCTTTGCTCTCTTCCTCCTTCAGTCTTGTAAGATGTGCCTGCTTCCCCTTCACCTTCTGCCATGATTGTAAGTTTCCTGAGTCTTCCGCAACCATGCTTCCAGTTCAACCAGCTGAACTGTGAGTCAATTAAACCTCTTTTCTTTATAAATTACCCAGTATCAGGTAGTTCTTTATAGCAATGTGAGAATGGACTAATACAGAAGTCTTTACCAGAGTGTAACATCTTCCAACCTGACACTTCCTCTCTGACTTAATCTCCTAATACTCTTTTCCTCATTCTCTCTATTCCAGCCCCACTGGCCTCCTTGTTGTGCGTTGAACACTGATATGGTTTGGTGCTGTGTTCCCACCCAAATCTCATCTTGAATTGCACTCCCGTAATACCTGCAGGTGTGGGAGGGACCAATGGGAGATAATTCGAATCACGGGGGTGGTTTCCCTATACTCTTCTCTTGGTAGTGAACAAATCTCATGAGATCTCATGGTTTTATCAGGGGATTCTGCTTTCGCATATTCCTCATTTTCTCTTGCCATCGCCATGTAAGAAGTGCCTTTTGCCTCCCACCATAATTCTAAGACCCAAGCATGCTTTAGCTATGCTTGCTAAAGCATAGCAAGAGTGGCCTTTACTCCATTTCCCAATAAGTTCCTCATCTCCATTTGAGACCACTTCAGCCTGGACTTCACTGTGTATGTCACTATCAGCATTTTGGTCACAACCATTCAACAAGTATCTAGGAAGTTCCAAACTTTCCCTTATCTTTCTGTCTTCTGAGTCCTCCAAACTGTTTCAACCTCTGCTCATTACCCAGTTCCAAAGTTGCTTCCAGATTTTCAGGTATCTTTATAGCAATACCCCACTACTCGGGACCTATTTTCTGTATTAGTCCACTCTCATCTTGCTATAAAGAACTACCTGAGACTGGGTAACTTACAAAGAAAATAGGTTTAATTGGCTCAAGTTCCCACAGGCTGTACAGGACTCATGACTGGGGAGGTCTCAGGAAACTTACAATCATGGCAGAAGGTAAAAGGGAAGCAAGCACATCTTGACATGGCCAGAAGGAGAGAGAAAGAGTGAAGGGGGAGGTGCTACACACTTTCAAACAACAAAATCTCATGAGAACTCACTCACTATCACAAGAACAACAAGGGGGATATCCACCCCCATGATCCAATCACTTCCTCCAACGGGGGGATTACAATTCAGCCTGAGGTTTGGGTGGGGACACAGATAAAAACCGTATCAAATAGGCTGTTATTTGGTCCACTCCTGTGTCCCCACTGCCTGTAAGAAACAGTGCTAGACACATTGGAACAACTTAATATATCTTTGTTGATGGAACAAATTATACAAAGTTGCTGCTATATTCTACTTCTAAAGTTCTTTCCACTTAAACTATTTTTAATATTTTTGTCTTTGAGCATATAAACAATGAAACTAATAGGCTCTGGGGCCATAAATCCAATAGGCTTACCCTATGTGAACCTCATCAAAATAAATTGGAAGGAGATAAACTCACCAGGGAGGTAGCAGCTCAGATTTTCAACTGAACTTCAAAACCTTTCAAACCACAGTCAAGAGCACATGAAGCACTACTTCAGAGGCAGACCACTCCTGACCGGAGAAACCAGTCAGAATATAATGACAGCTCTGGACTTATAATTAATCTCAAAAGGCTGGCTGGGCAATTACTCCTGAGTTTGCAGCTAGATATTAACAGATTTTTAATGCACTCTCACTTAGAAGCAATAAAGTGGAGGCCACAAGTTGGTTGTTTATAAGGAATTCAACATTAGTCATAGTTTTCAAAAGCTTTCTCATTCTGCACCTTATAATTTAACTAATAGAATGTGACTGTTGGTGACTACATCGGCAGCCTCATAACAGACGTCATAATATAGATAAACAGGCTGGAGAGAGCAACCAGAAACAAAACTCTTCCTGAATCCCATACTCTTTTGTGATTTTTTTTTTCTTCAACTTGGAAGTAAGATCATGCTGCACATCTTAATACAGGTGAGGATATAGGGGATTTTGTTTTAGGTTTTGTTTTAAGCATATAGTCATCATCCTATCTGTATATCACCATGCCTGCAGACTTAGAACTTAAAAAATCGAACATATGCAAAGGAAAGAATGGATTGTTCATTATTTAAACAACATGTCTTCAGCTTCTTGCGAAAGTCAGATATATATCAGTCTGATAAATAATAAGAATAGATTCATCTTAGGAGGTCCTTTTAGACTCCTTAAGTCACCAAATCTATAATTGCCATTGTAAGAGGAAGAATGCTCATGCTCTTCTAGATACCACCAAGGGAGGAGAAAGAGCCAATCTGATTGGTTAGAATCCAAGATAATCCATCAGACATTGTTATTAAGAGCACATTACATAGCCATTTCCCCTGTAGGATCTTTAGCTCCCGTTCCTTCTCTGCAGCAGGACTATTCACTGAGTCAAGGCTGCCTCAGGGCCCAGAAGTCTCACTCTTTCTGAACACATGCCCAAACCTGCTGGTCACTAATGAAAGCTCCTCTACCAGGAAGCCAAGCAGAGGTGGTAAAAGATCCCAACTTTGGATATAGGCTTGAGGGGAACTAGGATGTCCAAATTAGGCCTCAAACCTAAGCCAAGAGCTCCCTTCAATTATATAATTGGGGTACTGGCCTGGTCTATCCAATAATAAAGTGGCCCTTTGTTTTCCATCTACTTTTGGTCCTTATGCCTAGCTCCCTCAGACATTCCTGGGTCCCTCTTACCAAATACTATTAAAAATCTGCCCATTTACTTCACAGTGCCGTATAATTTCAACCCACAATGTAAAGGAAAACATCCAAACTCTGAAATGATCCCTTGGGTTTCTTAATGAGCATCAGAGCACACACAACCATTAGCTGAGGTCCTCCTTGTCATCTGCTGGGATCCCTCACCAGTTATTCCACTCTCCCAAATTTGAGCGACATGAACTTACATTACAGCAAAATCACATAAGCTTGCAGAGCTGCATGTGACTAGTCAGAACCATACACATAAAAAGCAAGAATGTTAAAGGTCAACTGTTTCATTTTCAATAACGCTGACATTTGCTGGGCACAGTAGCTCACGCCTGTAATCCTAGCACTTTGGGAGGCTGGGGTGGAAGAATTGCTTGAGTCCAGGAGTTTGAAAACAGCCTGGACAACATAGTAAGATCCCATCTCTACAAAAAATAAAAAAACATCCAGGCATGGTGGCATTTGCATGTAGTCCCAACTACTTGGGAGGTTGAGGTGGAAGGATCACTTGAGCCCAGGAGTTCTAGGCTACAGTGAGCTGTGATCATGCCACTGCATTCCAGCCTGGGCAACAGAGTGAGACCCTGGCTCAATAATAATAATAATAATAAACATTCTGTAGATTCCTGTAGGCAGTTTTCCATAACTGTTAAATGCACAAACTGAGGAGTTTGGCAATCTGGTATAGAATTCTGGATCCACCATTCCTAGGGTATGTGGCCTTTGGAAGTTTCCTTAAGATTTTGTCTCCTGAACTGTGAAAGGGGAATAATAATAATAACAATACTTGGTAGGATTAAATAAAAAACACTTTGCACAATGCTTGCCACATAGCATGCATTTAGTAAATATTAGGAGTTATTGATATTGTTGTTGCTATTATTAATATTATTTCATTACCAAATGAATTTGTCTCACCAAAACTGGTAATGATAAAGATTTAATTAATAATATTCTTTAAACTATGATCACAATTTAGAAATGTATGTAAAAGTAAAGCAATCTTATTGTTTTACAGGAGTAAATAGAATATATGCTAAACAAAACAACCACCCAATCATAAACACACATACCATCCCTCAACCCCAAGGCCATATCCAAGTCTCAGAGAGAAAAACATACATATATCAATAGACTTCAGTATAATAGAATATGAAGCATGACAGGCCTGTGCATTCATTTTCTGTTGCTGAATAATGAATGACCAAAATGTAGTGGCTTAAAACAATACAAAATTATTATCTTACAGTTTGCATGTGTTAGATGTCCAGGTACAGGTTAGCTGGCAACTCTCCTCAGTGTCTTACTAAGCTGAAATATTAGTCACAGGTACATTTTCATCTGAAGCTTGGGTCCTCCTCCAAACTTATTGGTTCTTGGTATAATTAGTTCTGTGTGGTTGTATGACAGAAGACCCTATTTTTCTTGCTGATTATCAGTTGGGAATTATTCCCAGTTACTAGAGGTCACCCTTAGGTTCCTGCTATATTGCCTCCTCCACAGGTAGTTCGCATGGTTATTTGTTCCTTCAAAGTCATCAAGACAGCATTTCTGTTGCTTGAAATCTCTCTGACTTCTCGATCCTCTTTCAAGGGTTCATCTGATTAGGCAAAGACTACTCAGAATAATCTCCTTTTTTTATTAACTCCAAGTGAACTTACAGGGACCTCAATTATCTTTCACCTTTGCTATATAACCTAACCTAACCATGGGCATGGCATCCATCATGTTGCCTAGACTCAAAGGGAGGGGATTACACAGGTTCTGTACACCAGGGGATAGGAATCTTGTGGGCCATCTTAGTGTTCTGCCCACCACAATCTGAAATCAAATACTAAAGCAATAAAACATAACAGACTTACTTATTCTGTAATGGTGTCAAAATTATATTTTTAAATAAAGAGAGAAATTAAAAAATAATAATGATGGACTTGGATAAACATGATGGGTTGAATACATGTATATATGTCTTTTATCTTTCCCAAATGCATTCAAATGACAGTAAAATAATAAAACATTTCAACATTTTTTAGACAAGGAGAATAGGAGAGTATGGACAAGAGATGTTGATAAGCATTTGGAGGATACGAAATGAATAGAGACATGAATG